AAAAAGTTCAGTCCACAACATCCCAGCAGACAAAATATTTTTTCGGAGACATCCAAAACAGCCAATAGTTATATTTTCCATATATGACACACATCAGACACCTGTAGTGTCTCACACACTTGCACAAAAATACACAAAACACTTGCTACTTTTTTCTTTTGTTTAACCTTGCAAGGTGAAAAGAGCATGTTAGATTCTCACCTCAATGTCTCTTGAGACGGAAACCTCGCTGAAAGTTAGCGACGGCCGGTGTTACAGCTTTGCCTTCTCTGAACCTTCTCTCCCTCCGCTCCCCCATACAGTAATGACCAGTAAATTGCAGGTTTTGTGATTATCAAATCGCAATTGCAATCAATTGTTCAGCCCTAACTTTTACAAAAAAATTAAAAATACCAGGCAATTACAGTGCAGGACACACATACCTAGTTCTGACCATGTCATCGAAACAGCTCCTGCAATGGCAAATGTTATTTTGTAGCTTCAAGTCACAACTGTTCTTCGCTGATGCTTAAAGGTATAATTACTTATTAAAACAGAGAAAAAATTGAATGGAAGTGTTACTCTAAGTGTTTTACTTATGAAGAAGGTGACCACAGGGAAGAACGTGCGCTCCAATTCGAGAAGTGTGGATATCCTGTGAATGCACATAAAATATGATGTCAGTAACTATCTATTAATCCACATATCCAGCATTCCTTTCTTTACTCTTCCCATTGAATATATTTCTTTACCTCCATACACACTGGACAGTTCTGCCTGGAAACATTCTCAACACACTGGAATACAGAAATGATGAGAAAAAAAAATGAATATACATTTCCTTTCCTCATCACCAAAAGATATTTCTTATTTCAATTGTTCAAGCAGATGCACGCTGATAATCACTTTGTGGTTCCCTTGCAGGTCCTGGGCTAAACACAAGTTGCACTTGTCACAATGGAAATACTTCTCTCTCGGCCCGATCCTGAAGGGATCAAAAGCGAGTAAATTCCACTGATCACACAAAAAAAGTAGCCACTAACACAGCGATTCCCAACCAGTGTGTTGGGGCACATTAGTGTGCCGCGATAGCTCGAAAAGTATTCCACGGGAAATTATTTAAAACAAATAATGTATCTTTGTCCATCTTCTATTGGATGGTAGAACACATAAAATTGACATGTGTATCACTTTTTTTTTTTGTAACAACTCACCTACATATGCCACAGGGTTGACAATGGTACTGTTTCTTATCCTTGTCAAACAAGTGACAAATGTCACAGTAATACTCCCCAAACTGCACATGACACTGTTGGCATGCCTTTTGTGCCTAGCAAAGGGTGAGAGACTGGATTTAGACGATGCTCGTAAGAGATGCAATGCAATGAACAACTTGGTACAATAATTGAATGTATGTTCAACAAGACACTTAATTTTCAAGTCCTGTCAATTTTGGCATTATCAACTCAAAATAAAATTTCATCTCTTTTGATTGTGCAAGTGTGTTGTACGGGCAAAGTACAGCTAATGTGCTACAGTTCAACAAGAAAGTGCTTTTAAAAAATTATCACGCAACTTACCTGTTGTAATGTTTGGCACTCAGAACATTGCACCTCTTCCACTTTAAATCTATCCATCTGGTGGTTTTCCTCTGCATCATGGCACAGCCTACATACATACAGTTTACCACAGCAAGGTGCCTGGATGACAGAAAAATCTTCGTATTATAACCATTTAGTCGTAAGTACAACCATAATTACGCCTTAACTCAAAAATGTGATTAAAAAAAAAACAACTATGTGACGAAATCAATTCAAGCTTGAAATGTGTATAAGAATACAGTACTTGGTTGGAATGTAATGTTTTAAAAACAAAATTATGGAACAACACAGTTTGTTCCACCAAATCCCTCCCAACTTTACCCGACTGAGTTCTGAGCATCTCTGCATAGGGCAATATGATGCCTTCGAAAAAGCAGTCAAGGTGTAAGTGCCCTGGCTTAAACCAATATATATGATCTGTGAAACATTTAACTTTTACCACTCAATACTAACACACTATTATCCAGGGCTGTCAAAATGAAGAAGTGGCTTTCCCATGTCAAGGGTCACCTCCATGATATATACGTTTGGCACAGTTTTTACATTGGATGCCCTTCTCGATGTAACCGAGCCCTTCTTATCCAGAGTTAGCACCGGCAGTGACTGGGATTCGACATGTAGCATATTACCTCTCACACTGTATGGTATTTGAACCCTTGGCCCCATGTAGAATAGCTTTGGAAGGAGAACGCCAATAGACATTTTCAAAGGATTGTAAAATGCAGAAATGTACAGCACAGTTATATAATGAGCATGTGTCCGACATCAGAGGCGAAGAACAAGAGCCTGCTTTTAGTGATCTACGTGACTAGCAAAGGAGCGGACGAGACCATCTTCAGCAGTTAATTTGGGGAATAGTGCTATGGGCCGAGACACCGATCAGAGAAGATTTTCGAGTCACCATTCGCAGCATCCTTGAATTTTTGAGAATAAGCTTTGGAAGTACTGCAAAAACAATGTACAGAACCAGCCAGTAGGAAAGGTCACAGCATCACAACGGTCTCCCTCAAGTCATCAATCTACTTATGCGGCAAATAGGCCTAACCTAACAATTAAAAACATGTAAGATGAGCATTGGAGCACGAAAGAGCGACAGCAGAACCAACGAAAAAGTGCATGCATGCGTGCATGAGGCATAAACATGCTGAACGAAAGTATGACTTAACTTCATTCAAATACATGTCCAGTCGACTCAGTACACCTCTTGCAATAATTATATTATGCATATTAACCTGATCAAACACCTCCAGATGGACAAATAGTTTAGCAGTAAAGGAGTTCCCTGTCTTAGACATGCTATAGCGTATGTGCTAGCCAATGAACGCATCGAGGGACTTTTTTGTTTTTCGTGTGAAATGTCTGTTTCTTTATTTTATTTGCAACAAAATAAGATTAGACTAGGGAACAAATACACCACAATTCAATTAAGAACAAAAATTTGAATTTATATTTTCATTGTGTGTTGCAACGTCTAGGTTTAAAATATTTGACCATTACTTCACAACAAAACAGTTTTTAAGAATAATGGGATATTTCAGTATAGGCCTAAATTAAATACCTTTATTTATTTTAAATTTTTGCACAACACTTACTAATGACTAGCATTATGAATGAAAAAGAAACAGCAATGGCTTACACCCTTTGTCTGAAGCGCTGGAGCACGGCTTGGGTCTTAACTTTATGAAAACGACGGCAACATCAGTGCTTTACCAGCCATGAGTCTCTCCTTATCTCACCGATTCCATTGTTTTGTGATTGACATATTGAACAATATCACACGGTATGAACCTAAAATAAAATGTCACCTAACCGAACAGGAAGCACTTGCGATTTCAGAAGATTATCCACCTGAAAGTACTGGTGAAACGTCCATTATTTTTTTACAGACCTGGCTAAAGTAGCAAGCGAAGGCTAGCATTCTCCCTGTTTGCACAAGTCAACACAAATAATCATTGAATCAGGAGTGCATTCGTATATTTTAATTGTATTTGGTGTTCAAGTATGAGGTCATGAAGGGGGGGGGCGTAATTTAAAACGCGAACTTACTTTTAATAAGCAGCTCCGCGCATAATGTTCACAGCCCACAAGCGCCGCCATGTTCAACACCAGTTTCTTCTTCGTCTCCGGTGTTGAACGGTATCCGACAACTTTTTACTATCCTGCCGACCCTGGGATACAACCCGCTAGTGTCCTACTCATTACTCAAGACTCATACACGACTCGCCCACTGGCAATGAATAATTCAAATCTATTTGACTAAAACGACAATCATACATATAATTAAATGACAAATATGCCGTGTTAATTGGTGATGTACATCAACGGGCATTGCAGTGAAGAAAGCAATGAAGTCTATATACTGCTCATATTTAGTCATGCTGTATAACTTTCCCATGCCCGCAGTGTAGCTTGGCGTCCTTGTAACAATCATCACTTAAAATTGGAATACTCCCTGCTGACAAACATTGGAATGCGCCAAACGGAGTACTGTATCGGTTTAGGAGAAACGAAAGTTATGATATCACACATTGTGTCTCGGTACCGCCCTTCTGATGATATAAAAATTATGTGAATCTCTTCCTGCTTCGCACTCGTGACACGCAGCCATTGTCTGTAATTCACTGATGCCCGGAATATTCTGTTATTAAAAAGCTTCAAAGAAACTGTTCATTTTCTGCGCCCTTTATTTGGATTACCAACATTCTCCTCCTCCGAAATTCAACGAACACGCGGGAGAAAGAAGGCCGCTTTCCCCCCAACAGCAACTAATCTAAAGTTGCCGAAAAACAATGTTGCAATCAAAGTTATAGGTTTGAAATTGATGGTGTCTGGGTGTTGGGATCTCCTTTTTACCGTGGGGGCGCTTGATTTGGCTTCGTGTCATCGCTGTCGGTGCGCTTGATTTTGTCTCACTAGAGAGCGCTGGTTGACGCTGCTGACGCCGCTCTTCCGCCATCTTCAACTTCCTATTGTTTGCATCAGACGGAGGCTGTCTGAATGTGCTGTGTGCGTGAGCCGCGGCAACCACACCGACATTTTCAGAGAGCTTCGGCGCTCCAGACTTTCCCCTTCAGTCGCCGAGGTCACTGCAAGCAATTTGTATGTCACTGATTTAAGGACTTCTCAGGACCCGACCACGAAACTTTGATAATGGAGGACGACCAACCAAAAACGTTGTGAGTACAAGGGCCTCGTCTATCTCCTGGAATGTGAAGGCTGCCATGTCGGAAACGTCTCCACGTTTTTTAGTTCAGATTTGCGACACCGAGATTCAAGCACGGTCATTATTTTTGCTTGCATTATATCTTTGTGGCATTTACATATACATTGTGAGATACCATAATTGAGGCTCCGGAATCAAGATTTTGCACATTAAACCGAAGACGAGCTGATATTAGCTTGCGTAATGAGCGTTGAATTTTTGGATTTCATTTGTCATGAAGCATAATTAACAGAGACCGGTCCTTGTAACGACGTGGACTTTCACGAGTACATTTATATTGGAAACATTGTCTTGTAAATGATCAATGGGGAGAGTTTCCAACTACCTTAGCGTGAGGCCCGTTTCAGCCGGCTATCGCTATCAGCTAGCTGAAAGCCAAGCCACGTCAACGCTCGGTGAGACAGCCCGGGTCAACTCTTGTAAACAGACAATCCTGCGACGATTATCGGCATAGTACAAAATGGCAACATTTCCATTTGAGATTCTTTTTTTTCCACATCGCGGCATTCCAAGTTATGTTGACTAAAAGCTAGCCCTGTTCCTAGCCTTTGTTTGCATGCTACTTCCTGTTTGATAAAAACTTGATTTTGCCACCTTTTAACTTCTCTTGTAGGTATGTGGGAAATTTGTCCAGGGATGTAACAGAGCCCCTCATTCTGCAGCTCTTCCAACAGATAGGACCCTGCAAAAGCTGTAAAATGATTTTTGATGTGAGTGTTGTCCTTGGTAATATTATGACGATGGAAAATGGGCCTTAACATGGGCACGTTAGGGTACTCAAGTGAACAAACTTGTTTGTACTCCTACTGTTTATGAAAGTAAAACCTACAGAAGTCACAATAGCAACATGAAGCAGTCAAAATTATTATGTAATGACAATAAATTAATAAAGAAAACAGACACTGCATTTTAGGTGCAAAAAAATGACGGTGAAACTTGGGTTGCAAGCGACCTTTTCACACGCTTTTTAAGTTGCACACAGTTTTTGTAAAGAATCTGCCTCTGGTTACATACATGTTCAGTTTTGTGAACCGTTTCAGCATGGATAAGTGGATTGACTCAGTGTTGTGCTTCTCACGCTATTTGACTATCATTAGCATATGCGTCACTCATTGCAATATTTATGCAGTTTTTTTTCCCCTTTTTTCATTTGAACTCTTAATCAGACCTCAGAATTACTTAAAGGTTACTGTTGGCTGTAAAAGTGCCAAAAATCCATGTAAAACTTGATATCTACTCTGCAGTAGCAAATGGAAAGCTGTTGTGTGCGGCCGTAAGTTACATTTAGATGACCAGTCACAATTCGATCAACGGCAGTCTAGATTTCTGATTAACGTTGCCAAAAAGGTTTGACATAATTTATGATCTGTACAGAAATTTGAGTGTCTCTTAAATTGGCGAAAAGTAAAAATGACACACAACTTGGATGTCTTCTCCTTGTGTCATCAAGCTGCTGTTTGTGCAGCCACAAGGTCCATCTACACACACTTGCTTCTTCCAACCCCAATTCTAACAGCGGCTGCCTAGATTTCTGATTAATGTGGCAAAAAAGGTTTGATAGTATGTATATGTGCAGTATTCATTGTATTAGCACAAACCTGGGTAACGTACAGCCCATGGGCCACAAATGGCATCCCCGTAGTCTCTGACGCATCACTTACAGCAAACATGAAGTCAAAGTAAAATGTAAAATATGCGGCACTTTTCCCTTAAAAGTTCTACTTTTATTTTAAGTGCAAATGCATAGACACCAATACAAGCGAGGCAGCCCGGAAGAGCTACAACTTGTCCGTAGTGTTGCAAACTAGCGACGTTTTCATGATATTTAGCAAGTTTTCAAACCCCCAGCGACTATTAAAAAAGAAAGGGCGAGAGAGACTAGCAAAAATGACAATACTGGTGCTGAATGTGAGCAACATTCTTACTTCCTGCACGGTGGAGGGAAAAGGATAGAAAGGATTTGGCCTGATGATAATACTGTACGTTAGAGCTAAGCGGTATATCTTTATTGTGTCAAAATCAAGATATTAATCCCAAATTTAGGACGATATTAGTGACCTGAATTTACCACGCTTGTGTTGCATGTAAATCTCAGTTCAACCAACCACGTTCCTCCTTCCAAGTTTGGTGTTGATCGACAGACAAAAGCAGCAGATGACAATCATTTTGCATTGGCCAAGTGGGAAGAGGGACACACGCAAAGCGAGGGAGACAGGCAGCTGTTGTGTGGAGATATACAGTATATATTAGTGCTGTCAAGAGATTTAAAAAATTGTGAGATTAATTATGATCTGTAATTAATTGATCTAATTAAGATATATTTTAATCTCATCTAAAAATTGCTGAGAAAACCCGTATTTTAATTTTAAATTCATTACATTATTGTGGCAGATCAAAAGACATCACAAAAAAGTGGCATTATAAAGTCTTTTACTTTTAAACAGACTTGAACAGATGCCGTCCGAGCCATTTACTTTTTCTGCTATATTTGAGACGAGTCCTAAGTCCTACCTGCAGCCTTTAGTTTCGACCACCAGGGGGAATATCACTGTTTTATTTTGTAAATCTCCAAATAATTACAAAATAAAAGGTCCATAAAAATTGCTTAGGTGAATATATCAAAAACAGTAAGAACACTTTTCTGAGCAATAAGTACTGAACACTGAGATTGCTTCAGATAATAAAAACAAAAATAAATAAAATATACCCTTAAATCACAGTGCTGTAAGTTAGCACTTCAGAAATAACTGTTCATCAGTTCAAAATAAAGTGCTAAAATAAACATCAATCACTTCTAGTAGGCGACAGAGGACACAGCAGCTATGCTGACTTCATGCCTCGTATGCGGGGTGTTCTCGAGTTTAGTTTGGCGAAGAGCTTTGCTATGGCTCGCTATATTGCTAACACTTTTGGTGCTAACTTCAGCTGTGGCTGCACTCGCGACTGGGTGCTTTGCATTGATGTGGTAGGCTAAACTTGAGCTGCTTCGGTGGTAAGCAAACTCATTCTTACAAATTAGGCACAACACTCTACCTTTATCAATAGTGCTGTCAGGGGCGTTTTTGGAATATACATTTTCCATTCATTGGGCCGAGAAATCTCACATGCTCCTCCATGTTCACCTCTCCTCTCCTCTCCTCTCCTCACCGCTGCTTACCTGGCCTTCCCAACTCCAATGAGAGCCCATCAGTTTCTGCTAAACACGTCCAAACATAATGACAGCCAATCAATGTCCGCTTCAGGCTGTAACTGACCATTGTTTCCCACCCTCAACCACTAAATTTATTTCTGTGACTACTGTGGGTTTTTTTTCTTTGATTAACAGCTGTGTATCAACAATCTTGTTCACTTATGAAGGTCTTCGAGAACAGTTGTATTTTACTGATTTCTGTGTATCAATGATAAGACTACAAACTGCATGGCATTATCATTTGACAGTGACACAATTGCTTGGATTTATTGCCAGTCTTGTTTTCCACTTTACAGACAGCTGGGAATGATCCCTACTGCTTTGTGGAGTTCTACGACCACAGGCATGCTGCTGCCTCATTGGCAGCCATGAATGGAAGGAAAATAATGGGTAAGGTAAGCTATCGTAACTACAGGGTGAGTGGGGTTTGGGTGGGCTTGGGCTGTAACCGGGGAGTTAACTGTTGTAAAATCCACACACACAAACAATGGATCCACCATATCAAATATCTCACTGTTGATGTGATGTGCTGATTACATCTGAAAATGTATCACGATACACATTTCATATCAGTCTGTCAATAAACACTGATCTTTGTCTTCTTACCAAATCAAAGTATAAAATGGTTTAAAGATAAAAGACAATATAAGACATCGAATGAGAGGAAAACTACCATTTGAAATACCTGGTAGTTTCATTCATTCATAAATTTAATTAAAATAATTTTCAAGTAATGGACTGTTATTCTGTTTGTACACTTTAATGTAGTGTAATGTACAACTTTGTTTACATCCATGCTCCCCGAGCAGCCATTGCATATTCGCGGAAATTGTAAAGATGTTTCCCCGCAACTTTGTTTACATCCATGCTCCCCGAACAGTCATTTAATTGCATATTCGCGGAAATTGTAAAGATGTTTCCCCAGAGCCAGACCATTGATAAGAGTTAAATTAAACTTCATTCATTGTTAATACAATGTTAGTCTAACCACACACACACGCACACACACAAAATGAACCAAGAGAAATAATGAGTGCCTGCATTTCAGTTGACACACAGCCTTTGGTCTAATTTAACTTGACCAGAGCTCCAATTTGAACCCATGACCTCAGAACTGTGTGACAGATGTGCTCAACAGTTAGCTACTGTGATACTTTCTGGGTTCAGTCTTCGGAAAATATATTTTTTTCTTAAATGTTAGCAATGAATACAAAACCACAGTCCTTCCTTGGATGATGTTTGTACATGGTCTTACTAGATATTAGTTGTATCATGGATCTTGACTCACTGAACCGATGTTTTGTGGGCACTTTCTTACTTAATGGCCCCATTTAAAAAAATAAAATAAAATAAATTATATATCTCATCCAACATAGACCAGGTTTTTCCAGGTTAGATGTATTTTATTGCTGTCATGACTAAAATTCAGTGATGAAAAACCTTGAAAGCTAATTTAAAGCAGTGGTCACACAATTTGTGTGGTCAAGCCATGTCTACTCATTGGTCAGAATGTCACAATGTCAACTGGTGTGATCCCATCACAGGTCTCTTGTTGTAAATCCCACCCCACCTGGCCTTTTATTTGTCCCTCTGCAGGAAGTCAAAGTCAACTGGGCCACTACACCAACAAGCCAGAAGAAAGACACAAGTAGTAAGTACAAGTTATTTAATGGGTCGCATTTTCTGTGTACAGATCATCCATCCATCCATTTTCCTAATGGCTTATCTGATACAGTTTTATTTGTAACTCGTTCGAATGATATGTATCAACATCGCTGCAAAGACCTCAACGTGCCACAAATCAGAAATGGGTGACTCGCCTCGAGCAGGACTCAAGTTGCAATTTTTAGTTATTGCGACTTGCTCAAGAAAATTTGGTAAAGACTTGACTTTGACTTGAATAGCTTGACTTTTTAAGAGAGAGGGGGAGAGAGAGAGAGGGAGGGAGAGAGAGGGAGGGAGAGGGGGAGAGAGAGGGGGAGAGAGAGAGAGAGAGAGAGAGAGAGAGAGAGAGATGATGATTCATTCATTCGCACCGACCTGGCAGTCCAGTCAGCGTTGTATGCACATTTAGGGACCGTTCCAGGATATATATATATATATATTTTTTTTTTCCTCTCCCAGGGTGAAAGTTAGGCTTGATCGATAAATATGGGGGCAGACAAAATAATTGATAAAAATGCTACAGGGTATTCACCGGAGCAATACAGATTTCTGACGGGTCTATACCCTCTACCCTATCCCGATGGATGTGCAATCCCTGCGCACTTGTTCATGTGAAGTGGCTAGCTATCACTAACAGTAATGACAGGTGCACCAAAGATCATTAATTTGAATCAATGGATTATCTTGTCGATGACGTTGGCCCAAATAGGATGGGAAAACACATAGTTTGCAGCTCACTGAAGGAGACATATAAACGACATCAAGTTGTCATTATAAAGCACACCGACAGGTAAGCTCACGTCACAATTTAGCTAGCAATACGAATACTGATATATCAGCAGTAACAACTGAGTGATTGTGCACATCTAAGCACATCGAAGCAATCTAACTTGGGGTTGGTTTATGGAAACAGTCCAAACCATTCATTTTGACTTTTTGTGGTTCGATTCACATATAGGTTCAAGCGAAACGCCCCACCACCTATTAATAATGAAGTGAAGCGATGTGCACCCAAATAGTAGGTGTCAGACACTGAATGCAAAATAAGCGAAGTGGACTCTGTTGTGGAGAGAAAAGAAGGTGTGAAGACGTTTGCCTGCATGACGAGTGGCAAGGAGTCAGTGCTTGATGGTGCGCAGCCGCATTATACAGGCCTGCTGTGTTCAATCACTTTGCATTATGACCATGACTCTTAAAAATCATGTCATTTACAAAAGTGCTTTCCACATCGAATAAGTACAGTACAGATTGAGTTGTACATTGCTCAGGTGGAAGAGTGCTCGTCTCCCTACCTGAAGGCTATTCACACATTATAGGTCACAGTAATGGCTAGAAAAAAGGTTTGTAATGTTATAGTTAGAAATAAAGTTCCGGTAAATTAAGTTTGAAATGCAACTTTAAAAACAATTTCGTGAAATAAATTCAATCAATCATCACTCATTTGTTGTTTAATCACATTTTTTAAGGTGTAAATATACTGTTGAGTGATTTGTCAAAAAACATTTTATCACTCCCATATTTGGTGTGACTGAGCAAGACTGTATGACTTGACCTACGACTTGCTTGAACCAAGTAATGACTTGACTCGACTTAAAACAGCAACAAGTATTTTCCAAAGCAAGTCTTTTTGGCTAGAGTACCGTTTCACAGCACACTCTCCTAGGACACACTCGGGCTGTGTCCGAATGTCCACACTATTCCCTACATAGTGCACTATATGGGGTCATGCCCTTTTGTAGGAGTGTCCAAATGTCCAGAGAGAACTCTCAGAAAATTTGTGATTCATTGGAAGCAGGAGGTGGGCGACTGTATCGTGAGTGAGGGGTTAGAGGATAAGGGTGGACATTCGGACACAGCCTTGATATAAAGATTAGTGCGTAACCTGAACATTCCGCTGTTCTGGGGTTTTGTTTGATCATATTGTATGTGATGGCACAAGAGGGCTTCGTGTGTCAAACCTGGAAGTGTTGACCAAGTAGCAACAAGAACTTTCTAAAGGAAGTCTTTTTTGCCACTTTGCTTGGCACTCAATACCATTGACAAATATTGTGGTTGTGCAATGGCAATTGCTCAAAGAAATCAAAGTAAAATATACCCGTGCTTTTATCATTGTATTGTATGTATTGTGTCCATATTCAAATGCACATGCACTTATTTACTTCTAGTAGACGTTGGTTCAGGGAATAAGGAGATCTTTCATAGCCATGGCATTGAAAACCCAAGAGCATTCCTTGAGCACCATGACAGTCTGTATCAGCAAACTATTCATTTTGAACATGAACATTTCTGATTGTGTCCTGCCCCCCGCCCCCCCCCCCCCCGCCCCCAAAGATCATTTTCATGTCTTTGTTGGAGACCTCAGTCCAGAAATATCTACAGAAGACGTCAAAGCTGCCTTTGGACCCTTTGGAAGAATATCGTAAGTAATATCTATTGACACGATTACAGTACAGTGATTCCTCGCTGCTTCGCAGTTCACTTATCGTGGTTTCAGTGCATCACGGATTTTTCCGAAGTACTGTATTCAGAAAAAAAGTCTGAATGACTCTGAGGTTTTGTACATACCTGTACCGTATATGCAGCGGGCACTCATTCAAGGTGCATGATTGGTTCCTGTGGAGCGACATCGACCAATGACAGCACCAAGTGGATTTATCCCATGAGCTGGTTGGCTGCGCATCTTCGCAGGCCCGCCCAGCACTTTGAGTCTCATCACACTGGTGACTCTCTGGCATACTGTCTCTTCTGTTGTTTCTTCGAGAGAGCGAGCGGTAGAGGGGGTGGGAGTGGGCCTGTCCCAAAGCAGCAGCACGTCTCTCTTCGCCTCCTTCTCATCAATACAGATTAATTGTCTTATCATTAACACATCGGCTGCGCGGGGATAGCTGGCCAGGAGCTAGCTGGAGGCTAACGGTGGCTACATTGTCAGAGCGTCAAATGAGGGCCGGCTTGTACGCCACCAGCACAAGTCTCAAGAAGGCAATGCTGATGAATTTTAATTACTGTGTAAGGTTTTATAATTAAAGATTTAAGTAAATACGTGTACTGCTATAGTCTTTGTCTCAAATATGTAAAGTATAAATACTGTTTACATATTTTAAACATGCTGGTACCCACAAACCCTTACACAAAAATTCCTGGTAGGGGGTGGGGGCGGCCAACCCTACTTCGCAGATTTTCCTCTTTCGCCGGGGATCTCGGTCCCCATTAACCACAGTTAGTGAGGGATCACTGTATTACAATAAAGGATAGGTAATGGAAGAGAATACAGGTGGCTGCTTAAGAGAGATCAGGTTATTCCCTCATCAATCTCTGAGCAATAAGAGCTAACGGGGATTCAATCTTGGTGCGTATGAGCATTCATGATATTAAGGTTGGTCTTTTTCTACAGAGATGCACGTGTTGTCAAAGATATGGCTACAGGGAAATCTAAAGGCTATGGATTTGTGTCTTTCTTCAACAAATGGGTAAGTTGTCATGTTCAACTTTCCTATTATACGTGCAAAATCGAAAATAGAAAAATCCTGGTGCACCGATGTTGCAAATGAAAAAAAATTGAAGAATCCTATCTTAGGTGTTGCAAAATGTGCCAAAATCACATGTATTATCACTGGAGGACCCTGGGCTGCTGTAGCCTTCAGGTCTGTGATGAGTGCGCCACAAGACCAGGTCAGGTGTGCGGCAGCTGGTACAGCAGCACAGATGCAGGGCTTTCGAAACCGGGGGACAGAGTGAGCGGTAAAATATATAAGTTTCTGACAAGCAAGTTTGGATATCTTTGCATTATTCTGATAGATTTCAATAATGAGGTCCCAGAGACTGTGGAAGCTCTCTGCGGGCCATGGATTTGATGACAGAAATGTTAGTAAAAGCCGACAAAAAACTGCAAAATCTGGGGTATGGCAGAGGCACTTAAAATAGTGGGATGTCTGCTGACTCTCATTTCACACAAGTTTTTGAATGTGACTCAGGACACTCAGTTATAAGGTTTTTCTACACATGCAATCACATCATTTTAGTTGTTTATTTTTATTTGTCCTCTTTAAAAGTTTTTTTCTATTAGGTTTTATAAGTTATAGATCACAGTGGACATTAAAATTATTTATTTTGGGCTTCGTTTTTTTTAATGACAAAAATGGCATTTGAACAGGGGACTTTTTATATGCACTGATACATATCAATCCCAGTGTTGACAGCACAAATACCTAAGTAGAAAAAAAGTTGTAAATCACAACAGGCACAGCTGCACTGCATAACAGTAATACCTCATTACTCACTGTAATACTTCTACCACCTCTAGTAAATAGTTTTTTTTTGTTTTCTTTGCAGTCTTATTAAAACATTTTTTGTCCCCCCCCCCCCACTAGGAAGCGGAGAATGCCATTCAACAGATGGGAGGCCAGTGGTTAGGAGGTAGACAAATCCGAACTAACTGGGCTACAAGAAAGCCCCCTGCGCCAAAAAACACCTATGAAAGTGTGTGATCATCAAAGTGCACCTTTTGCTCACTCACATTAGAGGTTTCATGTATGAAGAGCAGTATTGTCTGTTTCCTCTCAGCGAGTAACTCCAAGCACCTGTCTTTTGATGACGTCGTGAACCAGTCCAGCCCCAGTAATTGCACTGTCTACTGTGGCGGCGTCAGCACAGGACTGACAGGTGAAAACGCCTCCAGCAATTTTAATGACAAAGCCTACCCATGCAATGTAGTCACAAACCTTGTTTGTTTGTTTTATATGACTGCACATTCTTGGATGCAGAAACACATGCACTGAATAGTCTATGTATCAGGCTGTGGTTCTAACAGTGATTATCTGCGTTAGATTTATAGAACATTTCCAGTACAGCAGTTCATGGCTCATGGCTTCACATTCCTTGGTTTTTACATTCATGTGGCTTTTTTTTTTTTTTTAACCATACATTGTAAAATGTCCTAAATACACGCTCACCTTGTCTTCCTGAAATTTGATTTTCCACAACAAATCTTATCATTCAGATGCTGATCTGATCTATTTTCCTTCACCCATGCAAGATAATTTAGAACAAACGTGTATGGATAACGATCAGTAAAACAGTTGCAACAAAGAATCAGACATAGAACATAACATTTAATTGTTGTTGAACAACTTTTTTTTCCCCCCGTGCATGTTCATAGTATGTCGCATTTCAGGCATTTCTTATTGTCTTTGTTGTATTCATTTCAAATGCTCGATATGTCTAATAAGTACACCCCTGGAGGCTTTCGGAAACCTTGAGTTTGCTTTTAGAGTCAATACTTTATGTGGCATGCAGTACTACAGAATACAACAAATGTGCTGTAGGTCATTGAATCAAATTGAGATTTGTCAATATTTAGACAATGTAATTTAGACAACAATTTTGATCTTTGTCATCCAAGAAAGTCTAGCACAGCTTATTTCGAGATATCTAATTTACAAAAATTCATCCACAGATGATTAATTGTCATGAAAAATCTGAAAATTGCTTCATAAGAAAAACATACGCATTTATGTTGAGCACTGTTTGATGTAAAGTTATAATGTGTGGTTTGATATCTTCTTCTTCTGTGTTTTGGGAATAATTAATATTTGTTTCTTTTTTTATATATTGATAATTATCTTCCAGAACAACTAATGAGACAGACCTTCTCTCCTTTTGGGCAAATTATGGAAATCAGAGTTTTCCCAGATAAAGGCTATTCATTTGTAAGGTAGGTTTAAAAGCATGTATTCACTCCATCAAGAATACAGCCTATGTACTGAACCAGACAAGCGAAATGTTCATTGTCTCCCCCCCCCCTCCCCTCCCCCCCAACTCTCGAGCGTCACATGCTGAGAGATTCAATAAAGCGGAATATTATAATTCTGGTGCTTCATGGCAACGGTTCTGTTATCATTCGGCGTTGCTTGTGTGTGTTTTAAAATATTGTTTTTCTCTAGATTCAGCTCCCACGAGTCAGCAGCCCATGCCATTGTGTCCGTGAATGGAACTGCATTAGAGGGCCATATAGTCAAGTGCTACTGGGGTAAAGAGAACCCAGACATGATGAACCCAGTGCAGCAAATGCCTGTACCTCAGGTAAATCTTGAATATTTTTTGTTACTTCCATTAGTTACAAGAGACAAGGGGAAAAAAAAAAGTAAAAGATGTGACCACGATGCAGTACAGTTCTACACCGGTCACTCCATCCATTTTCTATACTGTTTATTCTCACTAGGGTCACGGGTGAGCTGGAGGGTTTCCTAGCTGACTTTGGTCAAGAGGTGGGATACACCCTGGACTAAGTGCCAAGCCAATTGCAGGCCGCAAATAGACAAACAATCATTCATACTAAAGGGCAATTTAGGACCTTCAATGAACTTAATATTCATGCGAAAGCAATAAAGAACATAATTTTGCTGCTGGCCGGAAGGAACCCTTGCAATTTCAAAGCACAATTTTAAGATAATTAGATAATCAGAAAAAACAGCACCATAGACCGCATTGTTAAAGTAGGTATTATATCTTATACGCTGTTGTGCAGACACATCAACTACCAGTGTGACAAACGGCTGCCATCTTGGTGGAATCTTCTAAAAAGCGCAGATTGAGCACTTAAAACACCTCTAGATTCCCAGGAAAAAAAAATTCAAAACACAGCTTCGTTATGCAGTAGCCGCCCAGAAAAAAAAAGGGATTGCTCTCATTCCTCATCTCCTGCCCACTACCCACCAAAGCCCTCTTCAACAGCCCCAAAAGTCCTTCGTGCACACATTCTCAGTCTGCCTTTCATTTTTGCTTGTGTCAGTTACATCATGAGGCAAATTCACGGCTGAATTTGAACTCTCCTCTTGAAAATGCAGAAGTGAAGCCTTTCGAAATCCGTGGGTAATAGAGTAGTTGACAATACTCTACGCTGTTAGGACCCACTGAAAAACTGCAGCAATAGTTACTCTTGTAAGCATTACTCTTTACGCTTCATTCAGTCTTCGCATGCAGCCAGTTTTGATAAAAGATTGTCTCATTCAAGCTACGCACTGAACTACGCAAGTAACTTCCCTATGAGGGCGGACTCGGACGGTTTCATTGGTCAACTGTGTTTGTTGGTTGTGACAAGATGATCAGTAAATCTATTGGCTGCATGAAGGCTCATCAGTAAAAATTCATCACCGAAGCGCGTAACATTAAAAGCCGCAGGGTACAAAGCATGGCAAAAAAGAAGCGGCTTGTAGTCCGCAAAGTACAGCTGAAAAAGAAAATCGCTTTTAACAATTTAAATTAATCTCCAAAGTTAACTTTGATAGCCATAGTACAAACATTTTGATGGACAGTCATAGAAACAAATGATTAAAAACATAACTCCACATTGCACTGATTGTAGTTTTTTGTGCGTGTCATGCGTATGTTACTGTTTCACAAACCTGACGGTCTCCTCTTGTGTAACGCTAAATGTTTGGCAAATAATGCAACACTGTCTTCCCATGTCTGCATGGCTGAGAGTGAACGAAAATAAGATATAGATAAGTGAGAATAGCACTTAGCGATACTAGCTTCAACTATTCTGATCACTGCTAATCTTAACATTATTACCATCAGTACTTGGAGATGGGCGGCGAGGAACAAGAGCAGGGGTGAAAATTGAAAGTCTTTGTTGCCAAAATGTAAACATCTTTTGTACTATTGAGTATTTTGGTATTCAGAACTCCAATTGAAAATTCAATTTGAATTATCGGGTTAATTGGGGGGGGGGGGATTCTAGTTTCGTAGTGATTTTGATAACTAAAACACAGTTGAGTAAGCCTAGTTTATCAAAATTTGATCGACATAAACAGCAACCGTGTCAGACTGTCAGCATCAAAGTGTGCAGTCATTTAGAACGAGTGATAGAAGCTGTGTTGGTCTCTGTTGCATTATATGTAATGAATGCTCTTTGTTTTTCTCAATTAGTTATGCTTTCATAGGGATGTCCCAATCCAATCACGTGATTGGAAATCAGGGCCAATCACGTGATTTTCAACTGATCCGTCATCGGTTGAAAAAGATGGGTTTATTCATTTTCTGAATATTTAAAAGTCGCAAAGAAAACACAGTGTTACAAATGTGCAAATATTTTGCCAGATAGAACCGTAAGAGTTGAGTTTCATATGACACAATGTTACATTTCCGTTTAAAATAAAGAATAAAAATACGCATGTGTATTCACACGCACACACACAGGTCTCCTCCACTCCGCTCAGTTATCCTGCAAGCAGAGAGCGGCACCTTTGTCACCATAGCTTGATTGGAGAGAGTGGCAAGATGAATTATACTCCGATAGAAGGCTCCCTTGCACAAAGTCTCCTCGCTCATCGCATCGTCCAACAGTTTAGTGTGACAGACAGGTTCCGCAACTTAAAACAAAAGACTCTGACTCGGTGCCAAAAAAAATGTGTGATCGGGACATTCCCTCTCAGGGACATTCTGCATCAAGCCATTCTAATAGTGTGCATGTCTTTCTTTGGATTCAGCAGAACAAGATTAGCTTCCCTGCAGCTCAGCCCTACAACCAGTGGGGCCAGTGGTATGGCAATGGGCCTCAGATCAACCAGTATGTCCCAAATGGGTGGCAGGTTCCCAGCTACGGTGTCTATGGTCAGGCCTGGAACCAGCAGGGCTTCAAGTAAGTAGCTCGCAATGCACAGGGCCCTCCTTCACCGCCTACTTCTACTCCAGCACCACCAAGATTGTGGCATCACAAGCCTCCTCTGGCTACTGGATGGGAGCTGTGAAACTTCTCTCTTGTCTCTCGCTCAACTCCACATCCATCTACTTTCTCATCAGCCCTTCACCTTGACCATCTTGACAGGATGAACAAAGTTAGATTTGTTTTGTTGTGTTTGTTTTCTGTGTGTCATCCCCGAGCATTTCACCTCATGTGGGCAAGGGTTTATTCCAATGTTTTTGCCATTTAAATTGTGAGCTTGCATGTCAGAGTTTCTAAACAATAAAATACGTGTTTTTAAAAAAAATGTTAAGTGCTAAATTTGAATTTCATTCACTGTCCAGACCAAAAGGTTGCTTTATCATTACATTGAAGGATTGTAGTCTTTTAGATTGTTCAAAGCCAGGGGAACACCTAACCTACTGTTTAGTCACACCTGAAAATGAAAGTATGAAATGTACACGATATGGCAGCAGCAGAATTGCCACTGCTATAAAGGCTTATTTCTCGCTTCACGTTTGAGAAACATCAGGCTGCGGTATTGATCCCCTCATGATCAACGAAACCCTTAGAGAGACACGACCGGAAACGGCACATCAGGAGGATTACAGAGAACCATGACATCGGTGCAACATCTTAATGACTGTGTCTCTGAGGTCTGCATCCTGGTACCTAATAACTCCCATTAATCCCAATTGAGCTGCAGGTACTGCAAACCACTACCAGTGACGCTCATAAAATTCTAAAGATTAAAAAAAAAAAAAGATCAGACAGCGTGGATGGGTGAAAAGAGAAATGGTATGTAGTGACTACAGCTTGTCATGCTGTCAACTCTCCTGTCCACGATTTGACCTTTTAATTTACCACCAAGTGCTGGTACTGCACGGCTCACTATCCTTGGTTTTCAACTGTGATGATCGTGTTCCCGCTTTAATTTGAAATATGATGTTTTTTTTTTTTTTTTTTTTGGTTTTTTTGTCCATCATCACTTATACAACTGTCCCCATGCCCACTTTTGTTTCATCCCTCCCACCTCCCCATCAAAAATACACACATCTTTGAGACTGTATGTGAATGTCACACATTTGTAGGTTCTATTCTGATTGCAAGAAATGTTCGGTGATATTTTATGTAACCCCCTCTCCCCAATAAAACATAATTTTTTTTGGACAACATAACACAGTCTAAATTCTTGGTGAACGCGGATACAAAGGGGTGACGATGTATTTCAGAGTAGCATAGTTGTAAAAGCACGTTTCCTGCTTAGAAGCCGGACCTCCCCCGACTTGGAATTTGCAGAATTCACACTGAATTCACTGTTTTCTCTGTTGGGGCCAATTTTACTGTAGGAAGATGTGGCACGCTCATCTTTTATTAGTGTGGCTAACCAAATAGTAACTTGTCATATTGCTGGTTCTTAGTTAGGAAGTGGAGGTGGTCAGGCAGGCGGGATGCGCGAAACCAAAATGTGCTTGCCACGCTTAGCCTTTATGCTTTTGGTCTGCTTGTCTACCGTGTTTAATCAAAAGAAACCTTTTGCCATCGCTAATCTCTGCTTTTAATCTTTTTTTGCTTCATCTGCCTTACAAACTTTAATCTGTATGCTTTCCTCAGTCTAGCCTGTCCAGATTCTCGTAGCTCTAATATGTATTGTCCCCTTGGCCCCCCGTTTCGACTCATCTCTTCTAACCTACTGGCATTTTGTCTCTCTGTCTTGTCTCTACCTCCTTTTTGCAGTCACATACCGGCCAATGCTGGGTGGACTGGCATGAGCGCCATCAGTAACGGTGGGGTTATGGAGCCCACACAGGGATTGAATGGGAGTATGCTTGCCAACCAGCCTGGTATGGGAGCCGCAGGATACCCCACACACTGATAACGGGGAAGGGCAGGAGATATGTCAACCGTCTGCCTTTTTTGGCTTTAACGTGCTCACTGGGGCCATTACCTCTTGGCAGCACTAAGACATTTACTCGGATGTGGATCCGATTGGGGTGATTGACTTCTTTTGGAGGTGTAAAAGGTATTTCTTTTTGGGGGGTTGGGGGTTGAGGTCACAAGATCCAGGATGGAGCAGTTTGACCCACGCAGGTATTTACACCCTCTATTGGAGCCAAAAGTGGCTGAGATCCTGGGTCCGTACAATTTTTTTTTTTTTAAGTTAACTGTCACAAAACTGTAAAGGAGAACCTTTTTTTCTGGTTTTTACAAATGGCTTCCATGGTAGTTCCTCAGAATCACTGGGCGTTGTCTTATTTTTGGTTTTAAAGAAACGGTCAAGGTCTAGAGTTTTTGCTAAGTTATGAACCTGAATTCTTTGAGGAATGGAAATCTGTTTCATTTGTACACATTAAAATCTATTGCAGGGATTGTTTGCCACTGCTGCTTCTCTGTAAAGGCAGTTAAATATTGCACAGTCCCCCCCTGCTTCTACTCACTTGACAAATTACATTTTTTTTCCTTTGCATTCCATTTTTCGTTCATTTATATTTTGGACAGCCTCAAAATCTTTTAGCCACATGTAAATAACTCACTTTGATACCACGTAAGTACGAATGCTACTGTTAACTGTGGGTGCTTGCTTTCATTTTTGGTTCAAACCAACTCTCCAGTTAACTCCCATAATGTGAGTAGCAGTAGCAGCACTGACACAGTGCGACATGATTCTTTCATGCAGGGACAAAGATGGCATTGCTATGCAGTGCACACGTAAAACGTTGGACGCAATCCTGATGTAAAGAAATTTTAATGCCGCCCCCCCCCCATGCATTTTTTTTGTATAAAAGCTCTTCAGTGGGTCATTTAACATTTACACCTACTCTGTTTGCCAGAGTTGGGGAGGCCTACATTACTGTTGCCTTATTAAGCTGGTTTCTTTTAGCTGATAAGATACTTTTCACTTTGGCAGTGCCTACAGTTGTTTTCAGACCCTTCTGTTTTGAAAGGTGTTAATCCCTGAGAACTGATGACTCTGCTACTGTAAACAATGTTTTCTTGCTTTTGTCCTATTAAAAATGCTCATGAACACAGATTCCGTTGCTTTATTTATTACAGGGAGTGTCCAAACACTGAACCTAAGATGACATTTTTCCCGAACGTGAGTTTGAGGACATTAAATATTACATTTAACTAATGTAATTATTAGTAACCTTAAACCTGCAAGCCCGAGTTCCCACGTTTTTTGCATTCTTAAATCGACCCATACTTTATCCGTGAATTCACTTCGAATGCAGTATTAATTTTTGGCAGCAGATGGCGACATCGGCCTATTACAGACTCCCGCTCGTACGCTCCCTGCAACTGCCTTTGGAGATACTTTTGCACCACAAGTGAACGGTTAGAATGACTAAAATGAAGGCTTTTTCACATCGACTTCTGTGGCCTCAAATTGATACCGTGTCATCTCAGGCGAACAATTATTTGAAAATACTCAACGGTTCAGAATGGCGTTATTCGGTCTGGACAGTCGGTCTGGCTGGTCTAAAAAAAGAAGACAATTCTGACAAGCTTATAAATGATTTGTCTCTTGATAGCTTCCTAGCCAGGGATAGCCCGGACCAGGCTTCACTGAATCTGTCAGAGAATTAGGGATGTGCACATTAGAGTTGGAATCCATTCAAGTGCTGAAGCTTGCTGTCTTTGTCTCAGGTCATTTCTTGTCTCTTCTTTTCAACAAACATGACAATAACACAGTACTGCACACACACAGTCAACCTGTGCTTGCAGTTTCTTATGGCAAGGTAAAATAAAACAATAAAAGCCAAGTCTAACATATGCTCAAAATAGAAAACAGCTCAAGAATATTCACATATAACTGATGCAATCACTTTGCAATATCTTCTTTGGTGTGACTCGATTTTTAACACTCAAGTTCAAACATATCTGTTTAAATGGCACTTAAGGATTTCCCAGGTGGTGATGTCGTTGTCTGTGACATGCTTTTGTATATTCAGCCTGTTTTAGGGGGCTGTCCAGTCATGCAAAAGAGGAAGTGGAGAGACGGTGTAAGATGGGCCCCTAAGAAAATGTAATAATTCATTCATCAACATAATATGCCCAAAATAAACACTTCTAGTGGGGCAAATAAACGACGCAAGAATATAACGTTGTTTTTATGGAACAAAATGTTTTACATATACACGACATACATACATACACACACATACACACACACACATATATATATATATATATACTTTTTCTTTTTTTGGGGCGGGGGAGTCAATGAAATGTGGTTCATCGATGGTCTTGACTGAAAGGAAGTATGATAAAAATAATAAAATAAATATTGCAGCATGTTTGTATTGCAGGTGGCTGAGAGAGTTCAGTAAGAGTACTGATGCAGAAACAAATGAGCTGAAGAAAGTAGTGAGAGCTTGAGAGACGTCGAGGTACCCTGCAAATTGCTTGAGTGAACAGCATTTGTGTGTGTTTTCTGTGTTTCCCGCGTCAAGTGACAGCTTGCTGCAGTGGCTGACAGCAAATATACATGTTCCAGTAATTAACCTTGACAGACCCAATGTGTTGCCAACAGCAGAAAACCTGCTAATGACACAATTCATCCAGAATTAAGGCGTCCTGTCAGACTAAAGCCACACAGGCGCTGAACATTATGCGCGCGAATGTCGGACGGGGTCATTTAAAAGAGGTGAAAATGTGTGAAAGCAAAACATAAGTGTGTGACTTCACAGCATTTTTCTGGTTGAATGGACAAAAATTCCTATAGATACACTCTAAATGAACATCTTATTGAAAATCTTCCCAAATGAGTGAATGTTGGTTGCTGACTGACCTTTTTTTCCATGTAGTTGAACAGCAATACATATGGTGTACTGCATGAAAAGTGTATTTGCGTATTTCTTTCTTCCACTGGTGAGAAGCAACATATAACATGTCGTTTTTTTACACAGTACTTTTCAGTCTGTACCCTTTTTTTTTGTTGCTTTTGCTTAAGTTAAGGAATTGAATCAGTACTTTAAAGTGTTTTACTTCTACTTACTGTAAGTACGGAGTGTGAGTACAGTTCTGCCCCCTCTGCTTTCTGCAAGCAATAAATCCCGCGCTGACAGATGTGTGTCACCTCATTATTGAAGCTGTCAGTGGTGCAGATGGACATGAGGAGATGAGTCTTTGATCAGGGATGCGGGTAGGCCTGTTATTAAGCTAATATCACTTCCTGTGTGCAGAGATGCATAGTTTGGAACCAATCTCAGAAAAGTCTTATGTAGGACAAAGTCAGCCTGCGGCTAACTCACCATATTACTACATATCTGTAATACGCCAAATGGGGAAGAAGAAAAAAGAAGCCCTCCATCTGACTTGACTCAACTCACGTCACCGGCGCAGACTAAAGAGAACGCCATGGATCAAAGACTGTATGTCACATACCCACCCCTTCCCTAAATTCATATCTGAATATTAAAAAAAAAAAAAAAAGCTAAAGTCAAGACTGCGCGTGCACTGTGTGTTGGGTGAAAGAAGGCTGCCTAGCTCCTTGCCTTGAAGCATGTTTATGTACTTTGTCACTCAGGGAAATGAAATGTGTAAATCCAAATGTCAGCAAAGAAGAGGACATTTGTGACAGTACAGAGCATCATGTTTCAATTTCCCACCCCCTTCTATTTCTTCAACTCCACATAAAAATGTGGTCTTCTGGCTGCACTGCTGACGGATTCATGGCACATACAGAGAGATGACAGAAGACCCCAAAATGAATGGAACAGAAAAGAAAGAAGGGCAACGGTCTCTAGAATAGATGCACATTCAAACTTACATGTAAGGGACAACCAAGGTCAGCAATAAATGTCTCTGTGTCTCTGTCGGTGTGAGCATAACCAAGACCAAGGCTGGAGTGACACAGTAATGGAGGGTAGGATATGGATGTGGCCTGTGTGTGTTTGTCTGTCACCGGCACTCAGTGGCTCTGCCATTCACTTGCACATACCCAGAGTTGACAGCCCCCGCTTAAATGTGTCACTCGACATTACTACACAGGCAGATATTAGGAAAGGGAGGGCTCGAGTGGAGGAGGGGCAAATGGCAAGCAAGCAGCAACGGAGCTACAAAATAAGTTAGGTCAGGTGCTCAAATTTAGCAAGAGAGATGCACCCATGGGCCATGAGCTGAAATGTGGTTTGACTAAAACATTGACACATCGTAGGCACCTGTGCAAACAACCAGTAGCTTTGTTCTGATAACATTTCAACAATCATGCAATCTTTCTGTTGGAGGTTTAGCCACAGAATCTTAAAAATATTTTATGGGACAATGCTGTGGGAGTTAATGACAAATATTTGCAAAGTTTGGATGATTTATACAGTGTATTAGATTTTTAAAAAATGAACATATGCCATTGGAAGACATGCATTCTCCATCCATCCATTTTCCGATCCGCTTTATCCTCACAAGGGTCGCGGGCAGTGCTGGAGCCTATCCCAGCTGTCTTCAGGCAGTAGGCGGGGGACACCCCGAACCAGTTGCCAGACAATCACAGGAGTACAGTATAATAGAAATAAATGATCTACTTGTAAGGAGACTGTATTTCCCTCCCTGCATAGTTTATGAAAACGTTGGCCACCTCTCAATGTCCTGTCTTATCTCATGGCTGGAGAAAAATAAATCAGGTCAAAATTGATGCTATCTTGTTTTTTTGTCACAGTAAATTGAAACATACAGTTGTTATTTAGCAAATCGGAGAGTGTTGCAATGTTCTAGGTAAGGGCCACATGTCAAAACATATCCTTCAGCCTGCTCTGGTGTGCTGTAGTAACAACAACGACTGTTTGAAAGTCCAATCAGCACCATTCTTCTCATGTCACTCAGTCCCAATCTAGTGGCACAATCAACAAAACTGCCTCAATTTCCCGACAACGTGCATACCAAACAGAGACTCAACTATGCATAAGAGCTTGCAAACAAAGGGTTATATCAGTCACTGGCAGTGACTCAAAACCTGCACAAAGTTGACATAGGGCGTGTGTGTGTGTGTGTGTGTGTGTGTGTGTGTGTGTGTGTTTTGCCAATCAAATAGACAGCATATGTTTTTTTAATGTTATTGTGAACGCATGTTGGGTTTGCAACTAGCATAACCTCTGAAGTCCCGTTTTAATTTGATGTTTTATACTGTGTTTCAAAATTTTAAACCTCTCACTGCTCGTCAGTTCTCTGATGCCTTTGATGAACGAGGTGTTCCCTCAAATTAGCTTGGTTCCACTCATCCTGCTGTAATATATTGGATTCTGTGGCTCTATTAAAAACATACAGCACCATGTGAGCATAAATGGTAGCGCTTTAGCGTGGTTTAGATCTTATGTGGCAGGCAGGCCTTTTTGTGTTAGTCTTGGTTGCTCTGAGTCCCGCTCTTCCCCACTGACGTAGAGTGTTCCACAGGGTTCTATTTTGGGGCCACTGCTGTTTTCACTGTTTTTGCTGCCCATTTGTTCCACCTTAAGAAAGCATGATATAGTGGTACCTCTAATTACTAACGTCTCTTCATGCGAAATTTTCAAGTTACCAAACGCCTCAACAAGAAAATCTTGCCTCTTGTTACGAAAGAAATTTCAGGATACAAAAAGTAAAAATACAGTACAGTATGGGCTGCTACTTGCACCTCAGAGTTTCCTGAATGCAACATACTTATAGCTGATCTTCCACTGGCTATTGTCTAGCATCTTCCTGGCTTCCCATTGGCTAAGAGGGACCTCTTACTGAATGTGTCTGTGTGCAGATAGATAAATAGATATGTCACGTTTTGCATGGTGGTAGTTGTAGGACCCCAAAAAGCAGGGAGGCAGGGTGGATTGACCAAAATGTATTTATCAAAAATACAAAGAGGAGTACAATGGAAAAACACTAAGTCAAAGTACTCAATTGCTTGGAAATCACGAGGAACCAAAGTTACAAACAAAATTATGACAGGAAACAAAACATGATAGGAGCACACATATACTCACACTCACAATGACCCAACAAAGACTGACAGAACTCAAGGAACTAACTACAAGCAAAGTGACGAGACAACAAGAAACACCT